CGATAATAAAATATTATAAACTATTTGTGCAATTTATTGTGCAATTTGTGCAGTTAGAGTTAAGTTGCTTTGCACATGTATTGTTAATTTTGTGCAAATAACAATACATGCACAACGAATTTTCAACACTGGTCAATAATATGAAAGTTAACAATGTAATGTTGATTATATAATCATACATAACAAAGAAAGTAAATTAATATAAGGTTTAATCTTAACAATCAAATTCACCTTTGATTTTAATAAACTAAACCTGTTATAAAGTAATAGAACTATTGTATCAGTTTAGTTAAGAGATATGGTAGAAGAGACTATTAAGGTGAAGGCAAAGTTAGATGAAGAAATTGAAGTGATAAACAAAGCGAGTGTAAAAAAATAAAACAAACCTCTGGGTAATGATATTGAATGCAACATATATTCATTAACCCTGTGTCAGAAGGACCTGGGTAAGACCATCATCTCTCACAACAACAAGCAGAATAAGTTAAAAAAACTGCTAAACTAGGTTGTGAAAGCTGTGAAAGCTGTAAATTGAAAAGTTGGAAATCATGAACATTATAATGAATGGCAAGTTCACAACAAATCATACTTAAACATCTCATACAAGCAGCAAAGTTAAAAGTACGAAGCTGTAAGACAAAAGTGATTAAAAGATTAAGTATAGTTCAAACTGTGCTAAGACAAACATTGGGAATCAAGCTGAACAAGATAACCAACTGAACAAAAATAATATAAATAACTAGTAAAAACAAAAGACAAACAAACTTTAAAGAACATAGTTCAGGTTAATCATATTCAATAGAACATTAATACGAAAGATAAAAAATAGAAAGCTTTGACACTACTATACTGGTATACAAAGGTGCCGAAGTAGATGATATTGAAAATTTTCTCTTTGATTATAAAGGCTATGCGAAAGCAAAGAAATATAATGAAGAAACAACCTGTTTCAAAGTATACATGCATATGCCAGAAAGTATGAGAATGTGAATAAGAAAGCTAGTACAAACGAATAAAACATAGACTTCATTAAAAACAAAGATCAGTGAAAAGATTAAAGCTGAAAACGAACCAAAGATAAAAATCCTCCGGCTAAAACATTTAAAGCAAGAAGAAAAAAAATTAGTAAGAGAATATATGAATAGATATGAAGCTCATATTGAACATGTGAATACAAAACTAAGGTTAGATGAAAAATGCGATTGGTATATTAAAGGTCTTAGAGAACCTTTTCGTTCAAAAGTAGAGAATTGTTGTTCTAAAGACTATAAAAAAGCTAAGAAGAAAGCATTGGGGATGGATGAGTATAAAAGAGAAAAGAATCAAGAACATGAAGGAGAAAGATCTAAAGAGTATGTGACTTCCAATAAACTGATGTCGATATAAACAGTCTCGTTAATGAACTTGCGGCATTAGAGATTAACCGCATTGAGCAAGAAGCAAAGTAATGTAGAAAGTCTCATACAGAACATTGTTACAAAAATGATCAAAGTATGAACAAAAAGACTGGTTCAACATATAATTCTAGATCTTGTACGTGTTATATATGTAACAAAGAAGAACATATCATGAGAGATTGTTCAGATCAAAACAAAGATAATGATCAAAATAATAAAAGCACAAAGTTTAAAAATATAGATATGCATATGGTAGAGTTCACGGAGATAAATCCTGAATCAGCAAATGAATACTTGAAGGTGGAATTATTAAATGATCATAAATGTTATGACATGAGACCAATAGGTAAAAGGAAAAGGGAAAATGAAACAAATGAATTATCTGAACAATTAAATAAAAGAGAAAGGCTAATGAAGTAGTCATCAGAAATGAAGTACCAAAACAAACTGATAATGTTATGTACATACTGTTTACGGAAATGTTTGATGAACTTGATATCCTAAAGAAAATTGCTAGTATGGAGATAACTGTTAATTTGGGACAACTGTTCAAGTGGTCCCCAAAAGCACATGTAGAAATCATGAAGGCATTGCCTCGATGATGAAAAAGCCATAAAATTAATGATATTGATGTAAAAGTCAGAATTGTACGTGGTGTATTACAAACAACCAAATCAAATTTGGGTGAAGTTGTATCTGTTTGGACAACTAAGGTGAATAATCATATGGTAAAAGCCCCAATTGATCCAGGTTCCTGAATCAACCTAATGCTGAAAAGATATGCGGAGAAAAGAGGCATAATTTGGAATCAAGTTAGTGGTAAAGGCAGGATGGCTGACAATAGAGTTAGTCAATTCATTAGTTATATACCAAACATCGAAATAGAAATGGAAGGTGTGATAGTGAATCAAGGGTTCTATATAATGGAAACAGCAAGCTTCGATGTATTACTTGGCATGCCCTAGATCACAAAAAGTCAATATAATCTTGGGTGGAAGAGTAATGAGTACTGGTGTACTATTTCCTCCTTAACTAGATCAGTATCTTTCATAGTATTTACGGTGCCAAAAAATTGGATTGCTGATGCACAAGATTACAAAAGGTATGAAGATAGTGATGACGAAAATGACTATGAAGAAATTAATGATGTTATGGCAGTAAGGAGAATAGAAGTAGATGAACTCGAGATTTACAAAGATGTGTGAAATATTATGACTTGCGCAAAAAATAAGAACAATATAATGATGAGAAAAGTAAAACCAATTGATTGCAAAAATCTAGAAGAATTAACCTATCACAGAAGATTAAAATATTGGGACAATAAAAATGAAAACAATGAAAGGTCAATTGATGAAGATAATATATTGTTAGTGTCATAAATGATAAAAAAAAATAGTGATTTAATAAATTTGGGGCTAAAAGTCCAAGATAAGCCGATAAAAAGTATAGTAATTGAATGATTAATATCAAAAATATTAGAAGTCTTCACTTTTGAATTAAAAGACATAGGAAAAACCAATCTGGTCGAATATGAGGTCAGGACTGGTAATGCTGTAATAGCGACTGAGGCCTATTAGAATAAATAACCCAGAAACAAAAATGATGTTTGAAGAACATCTAAAAGAAATGATTAACTGTGGGTTGTTGAAAAAGAATCTGGTGAATTTGCATACTATTGCTTTCTGGTACAAAAGAAAAAGGAAGGAACTGACAAGCTACGAGCTATAGGAAATATAAAACCTCTTAACAAATATATTATAAAAGACAGCTATCCATTACCTATCATATGTGATATACTTGAACAAGCTGCTGGGCACGATTGGTATTTGTCCATTGATGTGTTTAAAAAATATTGGCAAATTGGTATCCGTGAAAAAGACTATGATAAAGTAGCTGTAGCTACGTCACTAGACATATTAAGATATACAGTGATGTGTATAGGCCTAAAGAATGCAAGTAAAACCTTTCAAAGATTGATAGATTAATTATTGGATGGTTATAAATGAAAATTCATTGCAGCAGCTTATCAGGATGACATAGAAAAATGGACAAATGGTAGCATGGAGGATCACCTAAACACTTTCATTGAATTAGCCAAAGTCTTTAAAATGCTGGCTTAACTTTTGTGGAGTATATCAGGGCGGCCCCCCAAAGTTCGGGTCGATGATCGCCATCGGATTGATAATTGATGTCGGATCGATAATTGAAATCACTCCTGCAGCTTATCAAGTAAATTAGGGTGGCCCTCCAAAGTCTGGGCCGATGATCGACCCATACTTTGGGGGGGCCGCCCTGATATACTCACTTTTGTGCAAAAAAGTGGTTTGTTCTATATAATGAATTGAATATGTACAGTTACATAATAAATAAAAAAGTGATCATGATGGATCCAAAAAGAGTTGAAAAGATTGAAAAATGGAAAAAACTGACCAATATAGATGAAGTTAGATCATTCTATGAAACTTTAAATTAATACAGAAGATTTGTAAACAATTTTCACAAACTGCCAAAGCTGTTAACAGACTTAACCAGAAAAGATACAAAATTTAAATGGAAAAAGGATGAAAAATTAGCATTCGAGACATTGAAGCTAAAATTATCTAAAGAAATAACTTTAAAAGGACCTAATTGGCAAGCTGCAAAAGACAATCAAAAGCCATATCAAATATATACAGATGTCTGTGATTACTCCGTAGATGTGGTACTTGAACAAGAAGATGATAAAGGAAAATTAAGGCCAGTATCATTCGATTCCAGAAAGTTGAACGAATATGAAAAGCATTATACTATAACAGAAAAGGAGTGCCTAGTGATTGTATTTGGGTGTCATGTAAATGAAAATATGTTGGTGGCACAGTTTTTAATATTTGGGTGATCATCAAGTGCTAGAATGGTTGTTCAACAAAGTAGAACTCAAAGAAAGGCTCATAAGATAGGTTTTATTACTTCAATCATTTGAATTTCGTGTATACTATAAATCGAGCAAAAAACACGGTAATGCAGATGGTTTGTTGCATTACCCAAATCCTCCAAGTCAAAATAATGGAACTGACAACGATTTTGTCGAAGGACTAATATATAAAGTTGATATGGAAAGCAAGAAAATAAATGATCTAACTTTATTAAAACAATTCTTGCAAAATATGACTTTGGGACTGCACATGGATACACGTGGCTTGCCACATCTAAAAAGAAAATTAAAGTGATATTGCTTAATTAGTGATATTGCTTAATTAGTGATAATCTGTATTTACAGTCAAGAAAAGAAGCACCGCCAAAACATGTTATAATAAATAGTGATGAAAAATATAGTATATTAAAAGCCAGTCATGAAGGTTTAGTACATGAAGATGAGCATAAAGGAATAACTAGAACTGTGAGAGCCATATTAATAAAATATATATGGAGCTCTGGAAGCATGTATAAGAATGCAAAACGAATCATACAGAGTTGTAAAGCATGTCAACAATGCACCACTAAATTACCACCACAACCTATTCACGTAATTGGTACAAATTAGATATTTAACAAAGTATTTATTGACTGTGTTGGGCCTTTACCACATACTGTGGCAAAACACAAACATGTGGTATTGACAATTGAAGATTTATCTGGATACATTGAGGAAAAAGTATTGGTTAGCAAAAATGCAAAGAACATTGCACAATTCATTTGGAAGGATATAGTTTTGTGGCATGGTTGTTTTACAATTTTAGTGTCAGATAGAGAAACTGAATTTAAAAACAAAATATTAGATGAACTTTTATCTCATATGAATATGGACCAACATTTTACTGCCAGTTATCATCCCGAGGCAAATGGTGGGCTGAACGTGTAGTCCAGAAATTTACTAGAATTATACATAAAATATGTGCCGAAAGCAAAATTGATGGCACTATACCTACGTAGTGCAATTTGGGCAATAAATACTACAGTAGGGGACTTGGGAAATTCGCCATTTCATTTGATGTATGGATGAGATGCAATTGCACCAATTGAAATAATTTTTGAAAATTATCATACGTATGCATCAAAGAAAGAATGGACTACAGATCAGTTGCTTGAATATCAAATGCAGCAAATAAAAGAATTGGTAACTGACCTCGACAAAGCAAGAAATGACCACGATGATATAAAATAGCATTGGAAAAAGTTTCATAATTGATGGGCCCAAGATAGGGAACTAATTGAAGTAAGTGACAGCCTGAGAAAGTTGGATTATTGATGGGTTGGACTCTATAAAGTTACAAAGGTAGGTGAACATGAACAATGTTACCTCGAAGAAGTAGATAGGATGAAGCTCCAGGACCCTGTAACTAGAAATCAAATCAAAAAATTCAAAATATATAAAAAGGATGGAGAAAATAAAAATAAAGAAACTAATATTGGTGAACAAGAAAAAATAATAAATGAAGAATTGAGAGACTTCGTGGATGAAGTCATGGGGGTCCAGCTTATGTTGGGAATTGATTAGTCGCACGTGTTATTAGTGTCGGGGCATTAGTAGCCAGGCCAGATCATAATATATAGTTAGTGAAATGATATGCGGTCATATGTAGTAATCAATGACATATTATCGAACAATGTAAAGTCAATAATGTGAAAGTTAACAATGTAATGTCGATTATGTAATCATGCATAACAAAGAAAGTAAATAAATATAAAGTTTGATCTTAACAATCAAATTCACCTTTGATTTTAATAAACTAAACCTGTTATAAAGTAATAGTACCGATGTACCAGTTTAGTTGAGAGACGTGGTAGAAGAGACTATTAAGGTGAAGGCAAAGTTAGATGAAGAAATCGAAGTGATAAACAAAGCGAGTGTAAAGAAATAAAACAAACCTCTGGGTAACGACGTTGAGTGCAACGTACATTCTTTAAGACCTTTAAGACTTTTAAGACAAATCGCTCTTAAAAGTCTTACCCCAAATCATCGTTAACCATAAATAATTAACTATAGTAATAGCTGCCGCAACAAATTTGGACCGGCAGATCCTCAATTTTGATTGGCTAACGGCCGAGGATCTTCAAAATTTTGGCCCACATTA